GTCCAGTCCAGTCCAGCAGTGAACCAAATCATAAGTTTCAAACTGGTCCAATATGTGAATGTTGAAATAAACGAACTTCAGGTACACATCACTAGTGACGCATCCGTTTTGCGATATACATTATTTAGTAACCTAGATAGGACAGTTGTAATAGCCTCATTCCTAGGAGAAAAACCAGGAGAATGGAGACATAAATGCGTTATCTCCTGGTTGTTCTCCGAGGAATGAGGCTATTGCAACTGCCTTACCTACGTGGATAGTTTTCCCCGCAAATGCATTTAACAACTTACGTTATTTAGTTACCATGACAGGGCCAGACATGCCGAACACCCTGTTTCTTTAGTCATAACAGGCATGCGAGTTCATGCAGCCTCGTGATAAACTCAGTGCACGACTTGAAGCACCATCAGACGTCGAAGTTGATACAGAACACTTAAACCCACCTTTCCAGCAGGCCGCCTGGTGAAGCAGAATTTCTGGCAGAGGTTCGTACTATTGCGTAACTATTTACGGCTTGGCATCCTGTGGGTCACATTTGCTTTTTGATATTTCCGTTCTAACTTGAGGTCATTTTTTTTACTTCTCATGAGGCTGATATGTTTCATTTTGCTATATAGCAGCTGTTCTCCGGGAGATTGTATGCAAAATATCTGTGCCTAAGGCTGCTTAATGTGTTCAGAGGTTGTGGCATACCACTTCCATCACAGATGATCCTCGATACTGCAGATGCAACTGCCCAGGCCATTAAAAATTAATAATAAAATGTGCATATCAGGCCTTCCATGGGCTCCGCTTCATGCAGGTCAAATGCAGCCAGGCAGCCTAACACAGATAGGCCAGAGAACGCCAACATGCGATTTCTGCTAGCAGAAACCAAATGGTGACAATGGACAACTCCTGAAGCAAGCGTCAGACCGTCTTAAGATCACAGCTTACAGCGCGTCATGCCCATCAGCACGTAAACTGCATGCCGAGTACCGCGATGAACCCCACCTGACTGTAACACGCGCATTCTGCTCGGCTGAAGACGAAAGCCTCTCGACCACGCGTCAGGTCGACACATCACCACCTGAGCTGACGCACATCTACACCCCAGTACGCGGTTCATCCACCGTGCCTGCCCCCGCCTCCCCCCCCCCCCCCCCGCCCCCCCCCCCGCTCCGTCTGTCCTCTCCCGGGCCGCGTCAGACCGTCGCCGTCTCTTATTCCGGGCCGTCCCGAGCGGCAGGCGCGGTCTGGTCCCCACACGCCCGCGCGGCGAGCGTGTCCTGGCGCTCGACCCGCCCCAGCCGGGCTAACGACATGCCTCGGCATTAGCATGATCCCACGGAGAAAAAACAGCGGGCTGCTGATGGCTTGTTTTATTTCGTGACCTCAGAGGAGCGAACGCGGTAGGTGTCAGCGTGGCAGGCTGAGCGATCGAAGCAGAGGTGCATAAGGTATGCCTCAAATGCATAAGTTAGCAGGCATGGAAGCCATGGAGAAAGCAGGGCAAGCATGGCGCCTTCCTATGAACCGAAACGATTTTAGTTTTATTTAGAGAGGACCTTTTTGCGTGCACTTGGGTGAAAAAGGGCATTAAGCTTCCGTGGATGTTGAGTTTCCAAAGGCCCTTCGATACGGACGCGGCCAGCGCGTCCGTATCGTATCCAGTATCCGTATTCGTATCCGTATATCCGTATCCAGGACAGCGCGGATAATGGCGCACGAGAGCCTGGTGATGCCACACCATAGCGATCCCTGCCGGCGCGGACGACACCGCGATGTTCACCCAACCTGTAGCCCTGCTTTCCCACCGCGTGGCGTCGCCGTGTGCTGCCACCGCTCAGGCAGAGCGGCCTATGCAACGGCAGCCCGCCTCGGCGGCACCGGCGCGCTCACGTCGGAGTGCCCTGAAGTGATCGGAATGCTCTGGAGTAATCGGAGTGCCCTGGAGTGCGATTGTGACCGTCCCAGCTCCACCCTGAGTTGATTTATGCCCACTTGGCGGCTTGCTTACCTGATGTGACAGAGGTCCTGCCTGACGTGAGAGAGGTTCTGCCTGACGTGACAGATGTCTTTACTGACATGACAGAGGTCCCGCCTGAAGTGACAAGGGTCCTGCCTGGCATGGCAGAGGTCCCATCTGACGTGACAGAGGGCCTTCTCCGCCGCTCCAGCGGACCCGTCCCGTGGCGGCGGCAGCTCCAGAGCCCACGTGAGTGACAGAGGGCCTCCTCCGCCGCTCCAGCGGACCCGTCCCGTGGCGGCGGCAGCTCCAGAGCCCACGTGAGTGACAGAGGGCCTCCTCCGCCGCTCCAGCGGACCCGTCCCGTGGCGGCGGCCCGCCGATGAAGCGTGGACTGGCCGTCTGGCGGGCTCACGTGAGAGACGCCGTCGCTCCTGGCGGAACTGATGCCCGCCTGTTATTGATGCCTGTCGGTAATGATGGCTGATCGTTAGTGTGGCGCCTCTGGTGTGGGCAGCCTACCGCGCTGTAGCGGGGAGTCGTGGGTTCTCGGTGTGTAGGGCACATCGAGGTGCTGACGAGGAACTGTGGGCGAGAGCTGTCGACTGAAACAAATGTGGAGAGCCCACACGCACACATATGGTAACATCAATGCTGAATTTGGCTATGCGCGCTTGCAAAGCTAGCAAGTAGAAAATTAAACAAATCGGCGGCACTGTTGTACAATTCTTGTATGATACCTACACAATCAGATTTTTCTTTATTTTCGACATTTGTTCTGAGCGATTTGCTTGCATGTATTGGTGATTCACGGTGTCAGCAAACCACCTTTCCCACTCCACTCTCATGTGAGAAATACCCGAATGATTACGTTTTATCTTATAGATAAAGAAACGACCAACGAGACTGCATCTTCAACATGACATCAACAAAAAAGAAGGTATTTTTCCGTGGTGAGGTCAGTTCGCCGCCACGCGTATCAAGCCCAGGTGAGTGCCAAAGATTGCACACCGCACTTGGTCACCCGACGAAGACCTGGTGTCTGGGAACAACTAAGCACAGGTAACACAATGGCTGTCATTGATCATGTGATCGTCACTGATAGTGATGCAAAGACTTGGCAACCGTACCGCGTTGCTTGGTTCGAAAGCTGTGCTATAACTTATCTCCCGGGGTACTAATGAAGTGCACTTGCAAGTATGCATGACTCCATGTACATTGCGAGATAATGATTATTTGCTATTTGCATCCTGCGATGCCTTTTAAAGATTGTGACCCAGCTTTGTAACATGTAAAAGAGAATCCCACAAAATTTTCTTCAAGTGTAGCGTCGAGCTATGGCTTAGTGAAGCTTCAGAGCAAGTCATCAGCTGGAACAAAGCTTGGTGAAGAAGTGCCGCACAAAAACACCTAATAACTCGTAAAACTTTTTTCTCAGGAAAATGACACTGGGTGGAGGGAGCTGCAACCAGTGTCATTTTCTCTGCGCTGGAGTGTCAACTCTACGCTGACACTCCAGCGCTATCATACCGGTGGGTGGCCCTATGGGAGATCACATCAGCGATAAAGCCACGTGACCGCCGATGCGGTGAGAAGCTCAACTGACAGCAGATATGGCTCTCATGAATAAATTACGGAGGGGAGGGTAGTATACGGAGCGGTGCCGAGTCTCGTAACTAGTTGGTAAAACCGGAGTTGTGAAAAAGAGCCGCATAAGAAACAGCTGAGTTGTAGAGTACAAAAGCCACACTGTAGTGCGACACGACATCCTCTGTACTCCCACACACTGACCGGCTTAAATGGCTCGTGGAAGGATTGTCTGTTAAACTTGAGCTTCTTCGAGTGTGTTGCCAATGCACATGGGTTGGTACCGGTGCAGGCGACAGGTTCTGCTCTAGGCACGTACCCTGAGTTCAAAGGTGTCCGTGTAGCCCATTCTGAGTGACTTCTCGAAGAAGCATTTCCGGCAGGGCACGGCACGGCAAACTTCATCTCCGCGATCAAACACAGCGACGTCACGCCGTCCAAAAGATGACCTCACGCCGGGACAACGTTCTCCTCGACGCCTATCAGCGTCCGGCGTACAAGCCCGTGCCACCGCCCCCCCCCCCCCCCCGGACGTGCGTCACGCCGGGCATGCACACATGCCGGGCAGAGCTGAGCTGAGATGGGCCATCCCAGCGCTCCCGTGCTGCCCTCCCCCGCCCTCTACCTCCGGCTCATCCGGTGACTGGCCCGAGTGGCTCAATGTCAACTTGAACCAGCTCAAACTACATTGAAAACGGAGTGGTGACCCGTTTCCCCGTCAGAACAAACCGCCAGAGTTGCTTCCGCACACGAAATCACGCTCTGGTCTCAATTCAGCGGCGCCTCCATTCAGTTTGTCCCAACAATGCCATGGTGGCGCTGCTGACCGAGCAGAAACTGAAGGGGCTCTGAGCCCGGCCACTGACGACCCGTTCCTCAGGCTCCGCCCCACCTGAGGTCACCGGACAAGAAAAGAAGCGTTCGAGCGCAGAAAGGAACAAGCCGGATTCGTGAAGGCCTTCCCTGAATAAGACAAAACCTCGGCGCAACACTGTCTCCATGTCTGACGCAGTTTTTGTGGTATGCGGCTCAAACAGAGCGTCACGGTGCTTCGCCGTCGGCCGGGCCGATAATGAGCTCCGGCATCGCGGGCGACCGTCTGACGCAACAGGGGTATTGAGGACCGGCAGGAGACGGTGCCCTGACAATGGCACAAGCCCTGATCGCCGTCGTGAGAGGCTGCCGATGCCTGACCTCTCGCTGCCACCCCCGACAGACCGTTAAAAAATGGGACCGACGAGGTCGATCCACCGGCTGCCTATTGGCTGCAGGCCGAGTGACGTCACACGTGGGTGACGTCAGAGGGGCAGCGCCGCCGGCGACAGAGCCTCCAGAGGTCATCGACTCTTTGCCCGTGCTGAGCCGCTAAATTGGAGCTAGGTATGCGCTGAGCGCCTTTCTGGGGTTTCGGCGTTTTTATATATAGGGCGCGGTCGATTTGAGATCATTCGTTCGGTGGCGCTCCGGGCGGAAGGAGCGAAGCCACGCCGTCTTCGAAGCTGCCGTACTGAACAGGTGAGCACCCGGTCGAGCACTGGCCCTCTCCGTCAGGCGTCCTTCTTCGTAAGGGGACATAACGTTTACTTTGGTCATCGAAGCGAAGTGCTTCGCACTTGGCGCGGCGCGAGCTATTGCTGACATCTCTGCAGTCTCCTCGCCATCCCGTCCTGTACTTAAACAGCGTTTAAATTTTATTTCTTGGTGTACCTTGAAAATCACTTGAGCAGTACGCGGCTGCGCAATTAAGTGCGAAGGCAATCGGCAGGCACGAGAATTATCGATGAAATCAAATTTCTTATTTCGTACTAATTGCATATGGAACACATCCAACAAAACTTGTAAACATTTAGTGATGCTTTTGTTCAATCGCACTTATTCCCAACAGTTTTTAGCCAGCTGAAGTTAGCAGCATTGGCAAATACTAAATGGTATTGCAATATTACGTTTGTTTGGCGTCACAAACAGACAAGGAGACAGACACGCAAGGTTTGAACGTTCTTCTGTAGTGTGCGCACAGGAAGCGACACACTAGTCTACCAACACAAGCTCTATGGGCTGCCAGCGTGCAGATCACCTAATGGCGTCCCATCGCTGCCTGGCAAGTGTTTGTCCAGTCCGTCACATTTGCTCCCTTGGCTACAACCGTCTCGCTGTGCGAGTTTTTTTCGGTACGAGTCCAGCCCATCATATCAGTCCAAGAGCCTTCTGTTCGTCATTGCGTTGTGCATGCAGACGTCTTGATGCAAGCAAGACCGGTCTTCATCTCCTGGTTTTCTGGCATTACGAGTGTAGAGTTCTTATGCTGAGTTATTAACCTCAGTTTACCAGGAAATGCTGGTTTAACCACATTATAGAGCGAGCATTAGTTATAATGGCAGTGCTCAATGCTGAGAGCTGTCAAAACAATCGATGTTTGCTTGACAACGTCACTTCGCCATCAACTCCTGGTGTATTGAACTCAACAGAGCTCTAACCATAGCGTGCATATATCTCGTGACTGGTTTGATCAGATAGCGTACGGTGGCATCCGTATGTAGCCGGATGAATAGCATCGTGGACTTGATAGGTTTTCAAGTGTCCGTTTATGATAATTGTTGGCACCTCTGAACATTATATCCAGACTGTATGTTTCCAGTCGATCAGGCTCATTTCGCTTTTCGTTTATTAACACAGGCGAAGAAAACTGATGGCCTATTGGTCACATTATCTCCAATCGAAATGCATGTCTGATACCTGATCAGATGCGAAAGAGGAAGTGTGCTGATTGTGTTTAGCTGCTGGACAGCCCCCTGGCCCAAATTAAATGCTTGCTTTGTGGACAAAAAGTGGCAATAAAGACAGAATCATTGGTGCATTGTCCGAAGACTGGGCAAGCGAGGCCACAATAGATCCTATCGTTCTCCTTAGTATTCTCCACACTCAAACTGTAATAGCTTGTCGCAAGTTCGAATCCTGCAAATGCGCCAATATTCAAGGCCTGGTGCTGAACTGGTAGGATTTTCCCGTTGAAGCCATGTCTTCGCAAGACTCCACGCCCGTATCAATGCCTCTCCACTCTTCACAGTCCGCTACATCCGTGAATGCTGTCGCGAGATGAGCCCCTTTAGCTTCTCCGCAGATGGTTCCCGGCTCATTGCACGGCTATTAGAGCCCTGGTTATCCAGCTGGTGTTGCCGTTACACCGCTCTAAGCGGTGTGACCGCGTCCGGTCCCACGGAGGTCCGGCGCCAGATGACCTGCAAGTCACGGGAGGAACGAGGCAGCACGGAAGACATTCCGGCCGTTATCGCTGGCAGACATATTGGTCTCAGTCTCGCTGACGCGGAAGGGTCATCCGACGGTGAATGACACTTGAATACGGGCCCCGCCGGTGGTGGTCGCACGGTTCCAGCTAGATCGCTCATGGGTTTGATGCCTCAGCAGCCCACGAGGCGCCCACACACACGGACAGACACACTGGCTATGATTACCGCTGATTTCAGGCCGATTTTCATCGCGGCCAGCGTGCGGCGCCGGCGCCATGGCCGGCTCGTCCGAAGCCATTTGTCCGTAGAGCGTGTGACCTCTGACCCCCGCTGCCAGCAGTCAGCTGATAGATTTCTGAACCGTGGCGGACTCCGGCGGTGGTCAACTGAAGCTATGGCCGCCCGTGCCAGAGGCGGCACCGCCAGGCGGGAGATTCCGATCAGTAATTAAAGAGCATGCCCGCTGAAGATTCGAGAAGGCGCAAAAAGTCAAAGGAATTGAAATACTGTTTCGAAAGCTAGCTGCTTTTCCACATGTTTGGAACTGAAACTGATTTTAGATGGCAAATCTCTCGACAAGGACGTCAATGAAAATTAATGTTCGTACATGTAGAATTGATTGCCTACATCTCATAAGGCTAATCTTCTACAGACCACTAAATTCCGTTGATTTACATCTTGCTTCAGAAGAAACCGGTGTTACCATTATCACAACCCCGACGCCACACTTCCAGCGCAGGGAACTGAGCTCGGCGGCAAGGCAGAGAACGTGTGTAAGTGCTGTACAGACCATCTCCTTTTCACGCACGAATGCTCCCAAGACGACACATATAAATAGCAGTGGCACCATATATCAAGCGTTCATGCGCACACTTGTCTTCGTGCACCGCGTCGATATCGCGTCGCAGGGTCGTTGTCCGAAGGCATGACTCCTCGCGCCAAAAATAGCCCACCTCCCGGCCGCCCGGCAGTAATCCACGCTCGGCGCGCCTCCCTCCTGCCAATCCATAATGGTCCATGCCGGTGTGTTCTCATGGGTTGTTAATGGGTCGACTGTAGTCCACTTTATGAACCGTTCGTTCCATTGTGTGACAAACCAGGCGCGGGACGTCATTCCGGTGGACGGCGCGCTTTGTTGGTGTTGTGTGGTGCGCTGCGCTGCAGTCTTCGGTGCGCTCTTGTGAGATATTGTAGTCACCGGGCGAACCACATCGGTGAGTGTAGTTTCCGTCTTCATTTCCGTTGATGGTGATACTGTGACTGGACTTTAAACACACCCTGATGGTAGTCATCAGCACTGAGATTAAGCAGATCACTTGAACAGGATTAATGCAGAGCAGCGCTGCCGTTGCAGGTGCCTGGAGTAGCCGCCAGTAAGATAACAACCACCGGGAACGTAATCACGCAATGATGAAATGTTTATATCACTTTTATTGGTCATTCGGTACTAATGGAATAGCGCGGGCGTTTTAATCTCAGTAAATCAAACCAAACTCTCTTGATGAGAAAACCCTGACGCCCTTCACCTATCGGCTAGGACCGTCTGAAGTCAATGACCTCGTGATGACACCAACCTTCCCTGCAAGGTCATTGACACGTCACACCGCTCCTTGATCGGCTACCGGGCTGAGCGAACACTACCAACAGGACCGCTTCGAAGATGGCCTTCTGTTCTATGCGTCTAGTGTGGGTTTTATGTGGGCACTTCGGTACTTTATTACCTGGCCCCGCGTGATCGCTTCCATCTGTTCAATAATGTGGTGGTCATTCGTGCTTTACGACGTGCTCAGCAGCTGAGACCATACGAAGTCGCCTGCCTCTCACCCTGGCGGTGAGGATAGGCACCGCAGGAAATAGAGCCCCGGAAGCGTGATAGAGTCGTGGAAACGTGGAAGCGCGCAGGGAAGCCACTGCGCCACCGTCATCCTCAGGCGGCAGGCCCTACATGACAGAAGCCGACTTTCAGGAAGGTGGCAGCACACCTGCTTGGAGCTGACAGAAAAAGCGGCTGCTGTGGCTCGCTTTTTGCGCCCTGTGGCGGGCTTCAAAGTGGCCGGTGACAGTTTTTATCATGGCTTATAGAAGCCCCTGATGGATTTCTGTGTCCAAGAACCTGTAACAGTTATTACCATAACACAAAACGTCACGCGAATCAAATCTTGCGTGACACAGCAAGTGTTCTGTTCATCAGAGCGCATCAATGTTGACACTAGCATTGCAGCAGTCGGTGGTGACACAACCGGTTGGTGATCAAGGGAGAGGACCGGTGGATGGCCGGGGAGGCTGGAGGATCTCAGATGCATTACTTGCGTGCGACGCTATAGACGTAGCGTAAAATTTCACATTCTCGAGACAAACACTTCCGCCCTTCCCCTCCCCGCACACACACACGCACATTCACACGTTCACTGGCGCCGGCAATGTGTCCTGCTGCTCAGCACCTTCCTTATCATTACAAAAACGGACACACTGGCAAACTCTAAATGAGAATTTACTTGATGTTAACAAGTTCAGTCCAGGGAGGGATTCGGCTTAATGCGCTCAGCACGTAAAGTGGTAACATTTCTGGATGTTTTAGGCAACAAGGTACATTACAAAATCGTCTTAAAATACCACACAGAGATATATATTTAACAACTATCGGCATTCTAAATGCTGCTTGATCTGCATTTGATCACGTGACACCATTTGACCACATGCCATAAGCTGAACTCTGACCAAGGTTGGGTGCGACTACGGTTTTTGACAGTAAATTATTGTTTGATGTGATACTGCTGCTTGGAACCAAGCTTGCGTCTCTCGCTAACGTGACCGTTTCCCCATACATTCCGTGACCTCCGACCTGGATCCTCCGCTCTGACCGGGCTGGATGGCATATTTTAGTTCAGACGCCGCCGACTGGCCAGTTCTGAGTCGGCGATGGAACAGAGCGTTCCCTGCACCAACCCGTCCACTGGTGCAGTCGCGTCCATTGATATTACAGGATTGCCACAACGGATAGGTGTCCCTCCCCTCCTCAGTGGCAAAACTGGTCGCGTGGTTTTAGCACGCTACAGCAGCCCACCTACGGGCAGGAGCTGGACTGCTTTCCCGCTACTAAGTTGCGAATAACGCACTCGGGTCTGGATTACGGCTCCTTTGCCCCCCTCCCCCACCCTTCTAAAGTCCCCCCACTGGCGGCGGGTCTGCTCACCGCAGAGGGGACCCCGTCGGTGGGCCCGTCCTGCAGAGGGTGCCAGCGCCGCGGGGGCCAGAACAAAGGACTCGGGTGGAGCCCCGTTCGCCGCGCGGAGCCTCGAGCTACGGCGGCGGAACATCGGGGCGATTATGCTTTGACACGGAGGGATTGCAAGTTGCAACAGGGGCAGTCGCAGGGCTGCTCGCATACCAGCGTGATGCAACCCCTCCAAACGATCCCTCGCTGCAAGGGGAGTCCAGGATTTACGGATGGGGAGGCGCCGATAGCACTTATCGCCAGATGCAGCTCATCCACAAGCAATTTCAACAAACCAGGTTCATTCCCACGGACGCGCAGTTTGTTATCTTCTCCCCTCCCGCCCCCCCCCCCCTTGCGGTGCCCTAAGCCGTCATCTCCGAATGCATGTGATGGACGTATTATGGTTTGTTAGTTGAGTTAGAGGCGCTCGCTGTCCAGTTTGAGGTGAGGGGTCATCTGGGGTCGGTTTTTTTACGACAGCTCGAGAAATAGCCTGCAGTCTTGGCGTCTGCATCGTAACTTGTCCCCCAGAGTACGTCGGACTTCGTGCAAAAAGGGGGTCATGTGGTGACCTTGCGAACCAAATACCCCTAAAACAGATGTTTACTGCCTCGCTGTGCATTGTCAATGAGGCACGCAGGTATTGTTTATTGCACGTAGGTATTGCGATTACCTAAGTAGTTAACTACTAGAATTCACAACTGAAAATTGGGTTATTTTATCGTTATTCTCTTACCCACATTCCTTTTAAACTATTGCGCGGATCAAGTTAGAATGCAACGCAATTCTCAAAGTGAAATATTCGAGATACTGCATGTCAAGAAACCACAGCCGCCGAACATGAACCGATGTGCTCGCCAAACAAGGTCACCAGTCAGTTCAGTGTCGCAGCGAAATTCCCATCGCGGTTTTTGCCGCATACTTTTATGCAAATTTCTTGCCAAATGAGGGTTCGGAGCACTATCATCGAATAGTCACGCTTCTTGTTGGTCTTCAGTAGATAGCCGCGCTCTGTCAAGTGGCTATGGGCCGTGGCCTGAAAATGTTTCTGCCCGCTCCTGCCGAGGTTCAGTCTCCCGAGGTTCAGTCTCTCGAGGTTCAGTCTCCTGAGACTCAGTCTCCCGAGGTTCAGTATCTCGAGGTTTAGTCCCTCGAGATTCAGTCTCTCGAGATTCAGTCTCTCGAGATTCAGTCTCTCGAGGTTCAGTCTCGGACGGGAACATCATCAAGAGCCCGCCCACCGGCAGCGACTCAGCGACACCTGAGGTCATCTGAGGTCACCGACCGGTCATCACGGCCTTGCCAGCGGCAGACAATTTCGTCCAGGTCACTGAAACGGCACTTCCAGCACAGTAGCACGCTCTCAATGATCCTGTTGTTATTTCGATGCGTACTTTGCAAAACACTCAGCGACATGAGCTTCCGAACAGTAACGGCTGCGATTCATGAAAAGCATTCACGACGCAGCGTGCAAATAATTATCAATGGCGAGGCAGCGAGGGCCTTCCCAGAGCGATCCCTTCGAATTTTTCGTGATCGATGCTCGACTATCTGTCATGTGATGTGACAGTAAACAACAAATGTCTTTGTTCTCCTTTTAAAGAGCGCGGTTGGATGGAGCCTTCGAGATCTTTTGACCTGTCCAGGCAGGCAGTTTTAGCATCCGAAGCTGTTGTGATTCACGATAGCATCATTGTTATGCGGCAGATAATTGAACAGGCGCAGTTCTGGCAAGGCCGACGCTGGATGACAATGCCGTAAACTAGCGTTTGTGCGTAACTGGGGCGTTCTGCATCACCGACTCTAACGCTGGTGCATTTTAAGCTGCATGTTACTGTGCTGCGACTGCTCTGTTCTCCAAACTGTTCAATGACAGAAAACAAGCTGTCCCGTTACTTTCACCTGCATTCCTCCTTCCACCATTCATCTGCTTGGCCTTTTCACAACGTTCCCAACCTCTATTCACATTCAGTCATCTCAACAGGTGCTTCGTTAGGCGCCAAGACGCGTGGATGTGTCCCCATACCATCTAAAGACCACTAACCTAGGGTACCAGAGTCGCACTGTTGCGCGCCAATCCATATAGAGTCCAAATGGACTGGAGTTGCAACTGGAGAGTCCAAAACGCATCCGGTAGCCATAATCCACAAACGCGAGGTTGTCCGTCAAGCACAGCAGTTCCTACAACCAGCATCCCACGTGCGCGCCTCACCGAGCCTGGGACGCCAGAGCGGAGGGAGCCTCCGATCGGTTCGCCACGGGTCAGAAGCCGACCTCCGCTGCCCCAGCTCGGAAGCGCCTCGCCAGACAGTCGCATCACACGCGGGGGCGGGGCGCCACCCATTTACCGTGCCGATACCAGCGGACACTGCCCGATTACGTATGCTGATTACATGCGGCGCAAACGCCTCGTCTCGGCGTTATGCAGTGTGATGACGGCGCGTCGTGCAGACGGCGGCGGCGCGCCCCGGCTCCGGCACGTGCTTCGAACGCCGACGCTGCATAATGACGAGCCCGCCGGCGGTTTGCGGTCGTTCTGGACGGCCGGCGGGGAATCGACACCTCCGCCGCTGCCGCGGTGGATGTGAGGTGTGGCTTATCGCGATGGCGCGCCACACAGAGGGCAAACAAAACCGGCCTCTTTTGTCGAACGCCCTCCGAGCGCCGCGTCGCTTCCGGTTCGCGCATGAGGCTGCACCCTGGATCGAGGTGTCTACCGAGTCTACGGACACGTCATTGGTCATACGCTTCCTTCATGTAGACTCCACTCGGGCTGAGGTAGCCGAGACGGGTTTCAGATAAACTGTCAAACTGTCATAACTCCGTCTAGTTAAACTCAGTTAACGTAGAAGTAGGCAGGTTCAGGCTGAATCCAGAGCTGGCATTCCTTCGCATCCACTTCCGGTCCCAGCCCAGGCCTCGGACGGACTGTTCAGGGATGCAACCTGAGCCCAGGTCAGCTCCCTGCAGCCCAGCACTGGCCGCTATCGCTCCCGCCGCCAGCACCGGCCGCTGCCGCTCCCGTCGCCAGCACCGGCCGCTGGCGCTCCCGCCGCCGGCGCGGCCGCCGACGCTCCGTCAGCAGCGCGGCTGCCCCGGTCGGTCGCCCGCCGGCCGCGCGCCGCCCGTCACCGGACCCGCTCCAGAGCGCGGCACTGGCGGCGCGCTCCCGTGGGAGTGCGGCGGGCGGCGCGCCGGTGCCGACCACACGTGTGACCGCGCCCGGTCAGTGGTGATTGGACACGGTACTGCAGCCCGATAGGGCCGGGGGACAGTCGGTCCGATCGGTCCGATGCCACGGTCAGAACACCGCCGGTGGGGGGCAGCAATGTGTCAGAATTCAAAATTGGTGGAAAATGACGGTGCTGTAGTTCTAGATGCCAAATAAGAGGTTAACGTACTAAGGATTCTGCTGACAAGTACCCCGCAACTCTGATTGTTAAGGATGGGAACGTGTTGCGTTGGGCCAATGGACGAACGCGGGCAAAAGGCTGGGAACCCAGGAATGTCGGCATTTAATTTTGCTGTGGGCTTTTAGCACGTGTGAAGCCGACAAGGTGTGCCGATGCTTTTTCCAAACCACATGGCTAAATCATCAGAATATGAAGTGATTTTTTTCGAGTTCACCACCTCAAAAGAGTAATTCAAGTTAAACCACTCGTTTTCCCGTAAGGTTTGATATGCCATGTAAAAAGATAAAGAGCTGCCGGTCTTATTTCGGCCTGATGCTCTTAGTCAGTCGCCAACCAACCGCCGAGCGTCACTCGCGAGTTGCATAACCTTGATTTTCGTGACGTGATTCCATATGTTCGTCAGAATGTCCAACGTTCCGCCAACTGAGTTACGCGACCGGCTGCGCTCAGGCCTCGTTAACCCTTTGGCCGAATGTGATCCTCGTGTGTTGGCTGGATGGACACTGCGTTGATGCCGAAGGAGCATCGTGTCGGTTGCTCGCACACGCAGCAGCCCAGCGCGCTTACAAAGCTGTATGAAGTCTCCCTGTCCAGTCTCTTAGGTGACCCCAATTGACTGACAGAGTACCCACGCCATCGAAATTAATGCGGCGTCTGTTCTCTTCTCCCCGGCACCCTTTGCGTCCAACGTCCCCTAAACTCAGGGGACTTCAGCAGCACGCTGCGGTCATCAGCCATTGCTCGAACTCACCGCCGTCTCCGCTGGGAGACGAGCGGGTGCCCGCACAGCTCCGGCCTGTGCCTCCTGTGCGGGACAAGGCGGGGCATTTCCCGATGTCGGGGATTACCAGGGATAGTTGAACACCGTCCCGCAGTAGCTCTGTTCCAGGAGCCCTGTACCCCTGTACCAGGAGCTCCACGCAGGTTGCTGGCCAAGTACGCTCTGACCCAACTGAACAAAACTCACCGAAAGCCCTGCCCGTCCAGGTCCAGCCGTGACGTGACAAATAACGGAGCTCTGGTGTGTTCTAGGGTCTCCCAAGCTCGGTGGTCATGGCACTGGGCCGGCAGCTACTGCTCTGCGCAGCGGCCATTATTCCAGGTGAGTCCAGACATTCCGACACGGCCAGACAGCCGTGAAACATTTCACGCGATTTGTTGGGGCTATAGATATTCTCGCGTATGCCTGCTCGCAGTATCAGTCTTTTCATAAATGCAGTCGTTGCAAAAAATGTTCCGGAACTTTGACGTGCCTTACAATGCCACGCTCGCAATGTCAGAACACGACCGTCCGGTAGTAAAGCTCCGCCCCCCCCCCCTCTTCGTCGGGAATCTGCGATGCCGGGGGTGTGATTCGAAACCACCTGCTGTTGTGAATCGCCCTCATCGCGTCTACCATTGGCAGCGGGCCTATGCCACTGCCCAAGCCACTCCGCCATCGGGGAGTAAGCGCAGAGCGCCTATCTTGTGACGTTACAAGATAGGCGTCTTGTCGAATGTGATCTGGAGTTTGCTTGAATGCCAGGCGGAAACACGCTGCTGGATGGATGCACTTGTGATCCATTCACCTCATCCCGCCCTTTTTCAGTTGTACTATGTGACCAAGCGCGACACTTCCCTCCCAACTGGGAGCAGAACAACAGCTGGGAGCAGAGTAACAACGGCCAGCAGGGCAACAACTGGCAGCAGGGCAACAACTGGCAGCAGGGCAACAACTGGCAGCAGGGCAACAACTGGCAGCAGGGCAACAATTGGCAGCAGGGCAACAATTGGCAACAGGGCAGCGGCTGGGAAACAGGCCAGAACGGACAGCAGGGCAGTGGGCAGGGGGAAGGCGTAGTGGAAGAAGGGTCCGGCGGGGGTGACGGCAGCCAGCTGCCCTGCTCTGAGGCCGGGTACTTCCCCTACCCGGGGAACTGCGCCAGGTGAGAGCACGAGTGCGGCCGCCAGCGCCATCTCATGACGCCCTCTGAATCATCCTTGCACAGCAGAAACATGCAAGCTGTTATACTGGTCATGTCTGTGCCGACACCATCTTGGTGGACGTCTAGGCATGTACCTTGATTATTTGTTAGTATTTGACTTAATTGACCACGCTAAAGGATAGAACAGCGGACTTATGGCCCACATTAACACGCGCTCGGGTGGAGGTCAAATTGACTCCACTCAAAGGTTTTTTTCTGGAATGGTTTCCGAACGGGGCGGCGCGGCCACGCCCAATTTTGCATAACTGTAGCCAATTGAATAGCGGATCGTCTGACATCAACAATTTACATGCACCTTGAAAAGTCGCTGACATATGGCAGGCAAAATGCAGGCCATGGTTTCAGCGAAGGCAATTTCTAGGAAATCGTTCAATCTGATCAAACAACATACTTTCTTAGGTAACACAACAATTGAATGAACAAATTTCATTGGCCTAGGGTCAGGTATGAAGGTCAGACCAAGATCAAGACCAACCTGTTTTACCATTTTAGAGCCCGCTGTATGGGGTAGTTTCTGGCGCCCAGTTAAATTTATTGATAACAAGAACCGCATTATACACCTGTGGATTTCTTACAGGTCAGAATAGGTCACTAACTTAAAATGACCCAGGTTAACATTTTGTTTTTAGAAGCATACTGCCTAGCGTAATCCTTGCCGCTTATTCAAATGCAAAACTCAAAGCAGTCTCGTATGATTTTGGTCAAAATGCCCTTTGAAGTCAAACAAGGTCACTGACCTTAATGAGCACGTGACCTTTTGCTTAGAACAGTTATCTAGGTTCTAGGGACCCTTTAGAGACCAATCTGGAGTTTGACCTTGTTTTACCATATTTGACCCAAAGGTTATGACCTAGGAGCCTCAAACTTTGACCCGACTGAGTTCATGTATAGGTCAACACACCCTGTGAATTTGATGTTTCTGACTCTCTTGTTTTCTGAGATCTCAGCGGGGGGTGAGGGTGTCAAATCGACTCCCTCACCCGAGCGAAGGTTATCCAACCGGCCACCCGGGCGCGTGTTAAGTGTCAAAATTCCATTGACCACCAGCACGTAGCACATCGCCAGAGGCCGTAAAGTGCATGTTAATGGTCGTCTCGCATATTTGTTTCGGTCGAAAGCCGTTCAGCAGTGCCGTTCCGCCGCCTGTCCGCCGGATATTTCCGGCCAGCCGCATGGCACTTGACCAAGGGTGTGGCCAATGTGAGGGACTGGGGTCATGTGCCTGTTGGGCCATGTACCCACTATTCACTCACCAGGGCCATGTGCGCGGTGGGGCCATGCACCCGTTAGGACCATATACCCGCCAGGACCACGACGCCTCATCACACAGCGGCGATCCTACAGCACCCGTGCCAAGGTTGCTGCCCAGTGACTCCGCGGAAATGACCCGTACGCTGACCTGTGACCCCGCGAACAGGACTCTCACGTGACCTGTGACCCCGCGAAAATGACCCTCATGTGACCTGTGACCCCCGCGAACATGACCCTCACGCTGACCTGTGACCCCGCGCTGCTCCGACAGGTTCTACCGCTGCGTGGACTGGATGGGTGACGGCTCCTGGTTCTCGGCGTATGAGTTCGACTGCCCGGCGGGCACTCTCTTCGATGACACATTGGACATCTGTAACCACCCCGACTGGATCGAGCCCCCACCCGACTGCCTGGGCGGAGCTGAGGGGGGCGCCGGCGGATCTGGAGGTTCCGGTGGATCGGGCGGTTCTGGTGGATCGAGTGGCTCAAGTGGATCAGGTGGATCTGGTGGGTCTGGTGGCTCTACCGGATCCGCTGGATCAGGTGGTTCAGGTGGATCCGGTGGATCAAGTGGATCAGGCGGCTCCGGCAGCTCTGGCGGATCAGGTGGATCTGGCGGTGCCAGTGGATCTGGTGGATCAAGTGGTTCAAGTGGATCAGGTGGATCTAGTGGATCTGGTGGCTCTACCGGATCTGGTGGATCAGGTGGTTCAGGTGGATCCGGTGGATCAAGTGGATCAGGCGGCTCCGGCGGCTCTGGCGGATCAGGTGGATCTTGGGGTTCCGGTGGATCTGGTGGATCAAGTGGCTCAAGTGGATCAGGTGGATCTGGTGGGTCTGGTGGCTCTACCGGATCCGCTGGATCAGGTGGTTCAGGTGGATCCGGTGGATCAAGTGGATCAGGCGGCTCCGGCGGCTCTGGCGGATCAGGTGGATCTTGGGGTTCCGGTGAATCTGGTGGATCAAGTGGCTCAAGTGGATCAGGTGGATCTAGTGGATCGGGTGGCTCTGCCGGATCTGGTGGTTCAGGTGGTTCAGGTGGATCCGGTGGATCCGGTGGATCAAGTGGATCAGGCGGCTCCAGTGGCTCTGGCGGATCAGGTGGATCTTGGGGTTCCGGTGGATCTGGTGGATCAAGTGGCTCCGGTGGATCAGGCGGATCAAGCGGGTCAGGTGGATCCGGTGGATCAGGTGGATTAGGCGGATCAAGTGGATCAGGCGGTTCTGGTGGTTCTGGTGGTTCCGCTGGATCAAATGGATCAGGTGGTCCTGGTGGATCGGGTGGATCAAGTGGAGCAGGTGGTTCCAGTGGATCTAGCGGCTCCGGCGGATCTGGTAGCTCTGGTGGATCGAGTGAATCGGGTGGTGCTGGTGGATCGAGCGAATCTGGTGGTTCTCACGAATCTGGTGGCTCCGGCGAATCTGGTGGCTCTGGGGGATCAAGTGGATCAGGTGGTATTAGTGGATCGGGTGGATCAAATGAATCTGGTGGCTCCAGCGCATCAGGTGGCTCTTGGGAATCAGGTGTATCGGGAGGATCAAGTGGATCTGGTGGTTCCAGTGGTTCAAGTGGGACTGAAGGATCAAGCGTTGGTGGCTCGAGTGGGTCGGGAGGTACTGGTGGGTCACAAGGATCCGGTGGATCTGGTTCGGAAGGGGGCTCTGGTGGATCAGGAAGCTCTGGTTCTGAGGGTGCATCTGGTGGATCAGGGGGAAGCGGCGCTGAGGGGGGAGCTGGTTCTGGAGGAGGATCTGAAGGATCTGGAGGCTCCGGCTCAGGAGGATCTTGGGGATCAGGTGGAGCGGGAGGTTCTGGGTCCCAGGGAGGTTCTAGTTCTCAGGGAGGCTCGGGTTCTGAGGGCGGGTCCAGTTCTGAGGGAGGATCTGGGGGATCAGGGGGCTCTGGCTCTGAAGGAGGATCCGGAGGCACTGGTGGGTCAGGGGGCTCTGGTGGATTAGGAGGCTCTGGCGGATCAGGAAACATAGATTCTATGGGGGGATCTGGTGGGTCAGAGGGCTCCGGCTCTGAAGGAGGATCCGGTGGGTCAGGAAGCTCTGGTTCCCAGGGAGGTGCTGGTGGATCAGGAGGATCAGGCTCTGAGGGAGGATCTGGCGGATCAGGAAGTTCTGGATCCCAGGAAGGATCTGGTGGTTCATGGGGCTCTGGCGGATCAGGAGGTTCTAATGGGTCGGGAGGGTCTGGCGGGACAGGAGGCTCTGGAGGATCATGGGGCTCTGGTGGATCAGGAGGATCTAGTGGGTCGGAAGGCTCCGGTGGGTCAGGAGGCTCTAGCGGATCATGGGGCTCCGGTGGATCAGGAGGATCTAGTGGGTCGGGAGGCTCTGGCGGATCATGGGGCTCTGGTGGATCGGGAGGCTCTGGCGGGTCGGAAGTCTCTGGAGGGTCAGGAAGCTCTGGCGGATCATGGGGCTCTAGTGGATCAGGAGGCTCTGGAGGATCAGAAGGTTCTGGAGAATCAGGAGGCTCTGGAGGATCAGGAGGCTCTGGAGGATCAGGAGGCTCCGGTGGATCAGGAGGCTCTAGTGGGTCGGGAGGCTCTGGCGGATCATGGGGCTCTGGTGGATCAGGGGGATCTGAAGGATCAGGAGGTTCTGGCGGATCATGGGGCTCTGGTGGATCAGAAGGCTCTAGTGGATCGGGAGGCTCTGGCGGGTCAGGAGGCTCGGGAGGATCATGGGGCTCTGGTGGATCAGGAGGCTCTAGTGGATCGGGAGGCTCCAGCGGGTCAGGAGGCTCTGGCGGATCATGGGGCTCTGGTGGATCAGGAGGCTCTGGTGGATCAGAAGGCTCTGGAGGATCAGGAGGTTCTGGCGGATCATGGGGCTCTGGTGGATCAGGAGGTTCTAGTGGGTCGGGAGGCTCCGGCGGGTCAGGAGGCTCTGGCGGATCATGGGGCTCTGGTGGATCAGGAGGCTCTGGAGGATCGGGAGGCTCTTCGTCTTCACACACTGAGTTTGGTCTGATATGCGGGCGAGAAGGCTATCTACGGCACCCCATTTTCTGCAACCAATTCTACCAGTGCGTGTGGAACGGCAAGTTCTGGACGTTCCTCGTGGCCTCCTGCGCGCCAGGCTTTGTCTACAGCGAGCAGCTGCAGCTGTGCCAGCCGAGAGGTGAGCCGAACAAACTATCCGCTATATACAATATCTTTATGGGTGTATGATCGGTATATGATCAGGGCCACTGGAATGATCAGACTTCAAGTTAAGGGATTGTTATTGCTCTGCGGAACCTAGGCTGCTCTCGAGCGATTCTCACAGAAAGTGAAGTTGTAAGGCATGTGGCCTCATCCCTCTACGTTGTTCCGCGTTTAAAGCATCGTTGGTGTGCAAACTACTAACACGGCTTTTGATAAGTGTTCTCGATTGTGACCGTATTCCCGTAAGCTGTCCTTCATTTTCTTACCGCCACAGGGGCAGTGAGTCGGATTTGCCCTGGCCCGAATGCCGCTCGCCTTCTGCCATCCCTTACCTGTGCATCGATCTCACCAACAGGCGACGGCGAAACGTGCAGAGACGGCGCGGCCCTGGGAACGCCGCTGGTGCCATTTATCGGCGACGGCAGCGGGCTGCCATCTGGGATGACGGTTGAGAGCGATGACACAGAAGTAATCAGCGGCTCCGGTGACCAAGTGGTAGGTGGTGGTACCCATACCCTGCTCCCTGACGTCCACATCCGGTTATGGACAGACGTTGGACTGCTATTTCTCCAAAGGCAAAGAGGCTGCCAACATCTGACACGGATGTTGACATCGCTTATCAACATCACCAAGCCTGGGGCGAAATGCGAAAATGTGACGATGTGGCACAAATTCGTGACAAGACTCGGCGAAAAATCGACCAGATGCTGCACTGATACTAGGCTAGCCTCTCCTCTCATTTCGTTTTTGCTTTCGTACCTTTAAAACACAATGGGTGCGCGATGCGCTTCCGTACCGTGGGTTTCTTTACCCGTTTCCATCGGCACGAATGTCTTAACACATTTCGGGGTGCCTTAGATACATACAAGGTATTTGACTCAGTAAATGAAGAAATAGCTATGCAAAATCCATCACAAAAATTAGTGATTAAGAGAGGTATCAAAATGGGCACCTCTTCTTTACACAATACAGTTTCCGTTGCACGGCTGGCGGCACATTGCCAGTCAATGTACCTAGAGGTCGCGAATTAAGCCAAGAAATCGAATGTTGCGACAATGTGGAGTGAATTCGCTACCCGACTTAGCTCAGCTGGCGCATTTACGATATCCAGCAAGTAGTGATTCAGGTGCTGCTATATCCATTCGATTTGTGTGTGTGTGTACACACAGCATACCTAAAGTCCGGTCTCGCCTAGCTTGGCAGGCATCGTCCGGCCTCGTGTAGACACGGTATACCTAAAGTCCGGTCCCGCCTAGTTCAGTAGGCACTGTCCGGCCTCGTGTACACACGGTATACGTAAAGTCCGGTCTCGCCTGGTTCAGTAGACACTGTCCGGTCTCGTGTACATACGGCATACCTAAAGGCCGGTCTTGCCTGGTTCAGTAGGCACTGTCCCGCCTCGTGTACAACGGCATACCTAACGTCCGGTCTCGCCTGGCTTGGTGGGCATTCTTACATCGCATGGTGGAATGAGGCTCCCCTACCATCTCTATATCAATTGCATGAGTTTCCCCACCACGACGCCTACGTAATTGCCCATAAACTTAAATAACGACGCAAAGTAGGCCTAATCAGACCCGTCAGCTGGGCGCGGGACGTAACGCATCACCGCGCGCCGCACGTGGGATTTTCTCAAGCGCGTCTGAAATAGCACCCGTGCTTCCGTGCCTTTCAACACTCATTTGGCTGCTGCACGGCTGTGCAGCTCGCGTGGGCGGTGTTCGCCGCTTCAAATGACCGGCTTCGACGCATTTTTCCCAGGTAAACGGTGGGCGAGCAGTTCCAGTGCCAAGCTCCCGGATTCTACGAGTTCGAGGCCGACTGCATCCACTTCTACCGCTGCGTCTTCCTCGACTCCGGCGAACTGACCAGTGAGTGCGGCGGACAGACAAGGGGGGGGGGGGCGGGCAGGAAGGGGGGGGGGTGCGGAGCGGGTGCGTGCCGTACATTGGCCTGGTGCACAGGTCGGCGCAGTTGGCACCCGTGCGCAGAAGCAGCCGGTGTAAACCGGCGCGGCAGGTAAGAGGAAGTGGCGATAAGCACATGAACATCGTCCCGATACCCATTACAATAATGCCTATCACCAACTGCCACGGCCATTTCGAGACGGGACGCTTCTATAAGGCACCATGTGGGATATGACATGGCAGTGGCGTCGGAGGGACTCCCAGAACCAACGGGTTCAGAGCCAACCGGCCTAACCACTATACCACCGCCGCCCGCACAGGCCGGGATGCGTCGTTACGCACGTTGTTTCGACACCAAAGCGCTTGCACGCGTTAACCAAAACGCGTCCGCTTCATTATCACAAGAGCCGGGTCTAACACACCTGTCCTGACGCGTCCCTTGTATCCCTGGCGGTCATCGGACCTCAACGTACCCCCGCTGTGTTGGGGCGCAGCCCATGACAGCGAATAAAGTTCAACTGAGCCGTCAGCGACGTAACCCCAGCATCGTTGCCACTCTATAGCCCTTATGTAGTAGTAGTAACGCGCAGACTCCATCCCGCGTCCCACTTCGCCAGCCGATTGTTACAAGCTCTGTTAGCTTGTTTTTGTACACCGTGCCGCTGTTTGTGTTTTTAACTCCACGCCCCTAAATGACCCCACTTCTGCAGCGTTGCTTTATCACTGATGACCATTAAGCCCAGATACGTTACGCGTAAGCACGTTTGCTCGGCTGATAACCGTCCACACCTGACCAGTACCTCGTCACGCAGCGCTGCTAACCGCCCACGCCTGACCGGTACCTCGTTCCACAGCGCTGCTGTACCGCTGATAACCGCCCACACCTGACCAGTACCTCGTCACGCAGCGCTGCTGTAACGCTGATAACCGCCCACACCTGACCGGTACCTCGTTCCACAGCGCTGCTGTACCGCTGCCCGGAGCGCTACGTGTACAGTCCGGAGCGCGAGCGGTGCGCGCCGGCCGGGCAGGCTCAGTCCTGCGCCAAGGACGCCACGACGCTGCTCAGTCTGCGCGCGCCGCCCAGCCCCGAGGACGTGCGCGTCCTCTCGGAGGACGACCTGGACTGGTTCTTCGCCCAGGGGGAGAAACAGGTGTACAGGTTCAGGTCGGGCGCGGCTGCCGGCAGGCCACACCTCCGCGCCACCGGCGGATACCGGGAGATGAACGGGTACCGCCGGGCGCGTGGCCTGTTCTAGAGCCGGCTTCCGACTGGCGGCGCTAGTGCTGCCATCTCTGGGCCGCCTCGGCGAACAGCTGAGGCCGGCCTGGTCGACAGCACCGGACGACCCATACGCGGTCGTGTTATTTGTTAGCGCGGCGCCGACGAGCGCGAGGGCATTGTCCGCCCCGCGGGGCCACAAACGTTAGGGCATAGTGGTCGAGGCATTCGACTTTCTTATCAATGTACCCAGACTGGTGCCAACTGTTTTAGTGTATGTGCGTGTGCGCGCGTGTCCCCGACTTGGCCACGTCCTGGCCATCGCCATGTTCTTTATGGGCCGTTGCTCACGCAACAGCAGCCAATCAACATCGCTCCAGGGTGCCGCGGTGCGCACAGGCTACACGCGAGCGATCAACGCCCCACTGGAAGACCCCGTTCGGAAAGGCAACACGCACAAGGGCGTTGACCATACCGGTGCGTGTAACGCTACACCCTGGCTTACTAGCGGTGCGAGCGACGCGTGCGCACTGAGGGGACTGGAGAACGCCCGGTGATTTGTCGAATCCGAGGCGCCTTCGCACGTGACCTTCCACGCTCGCGGCCAACGATTCTGTGATAGATCGTAGCATTGCTCGTGTACCGCCGGTTTTTTAAATAGCTTCACCATTATGACGTGATGCACTGCATGGGAAAAGTTGTCAATAGCCGCCAACGGACAAATAAGTTATCACGCGGACCTGACGGGTCTACCCATGTACCGACGCGAACAGCGTGCCTCAACCTCGACTGTCCTGACTGGTGAAAATGTGGCTGCATTCACACCGCGCCACTTCTGTCCCCACACGCGTTCAAGATCGGGGCAGCTCCGCACCACCAAATCTCTCACACGTCTCGCAAAAGTCCCTTTCGGTGCTTACGCTGGCACCGTACTTCGTACCCGCACAAAATTACGAAAACAACATCCTCAGACAACGTAACATCACAGTAATATTTAGCACCACAGATGCAGCGGACGCCGCAATTCAAACAACAGCACTCGGCCAGCGATTTTGCACGGACCTTAACGTCGAGACCAGGAGCGGAGGACCCCATCCCTTCCGCTGGAAAACAGACCCGTCCACGCTGGTGCTGACGAACCACCAGCGGCTCAGGTGGCAGAGATGGGCGAGCACCAGGGCGGGACTGCCGCGGGGGCGCCGCGGGTGGTCCGCACCGGACGGCCACACAGACCAGCCCGCCACGGAGACCGGCGCGGACCGCCGGCCGCCACAGACCAGACCACCCAGAGCCGGCGGACCACGCCACGGACCGCCGACGGGGCGAGGGGCATCACGGCGGACCACACACGGACCACCACGCAGGGCACACGGCGACAGATCCCACACGGACGCCGCGACAGGGACCTGACCTCAGAGCGAACGCAGGGCCGACGCGTGCTCGCGTCGATTTGGCGACGCGACGCTGCCCCCGGCGCCACAGACGGGCGGAGAGACGCGGCGGTGGCCGGCGGCAGCCCGCACAGACGCGGGCACGAAGCGGAGCAGCGCAGACCGAGACGGGACGGGACGGGACGGACGGAGAGACGGACGGACGGCCGCCGGCGCCGCTACGTGACGCAGAACCTCCAGTTGGCCTGGTACAGGTCACTCCGTATGCGGTCAGCGTCCAGCTCCCTGCGGCACGAGCGCGCCGTCTTTGTGACCACCGCCGGGCTGTTTATCAGCAGGCGAAGCCGCCGTCATCACCGTCGGCGCACCGCGGTGCAGACCGGCGCCGCTGAACGACGTCTCGTGAGGCGAGAACTGGACTCAGCCATCCCAAGCATCCGCCCCGCGCCTTCAACACCTGACGGCTCACGGTCCCGACCGCGTTGATCAGGCGCACAGCGGGCACAGCGAGCACGGCTCGGGGATTGGCAGACAGGATATACTGTGATAGCCCGTTCGTCACAGCACATCGTCACAGGATATACTGTGACGGGCTCGCCCGGGCTGTCCAGCAGTGTGGCCACTCACACAGAGTGTCCATGGCCCAGCAGTCCACAGGGGCAGGGCGCACGGTGCCGACTATTGACGTGCTCAGCTGACGCACACGGTCACGTCAACAACCCTCCACGCAGCGACGACAGCGCCGGCAGAAGCCAGTAGCCTCCAGCGATCCCCCCCCCCCCCCCCTGGGATGGAAAAAGCAGTCAAGAAACAGACGGGACCAGCGACGACGTCACTGCAGCATCGGAGCAAACCGAGCCAGTTCACCCCCACCAGCCGCTGGCCGACCTGTACTGCGGCTGCCAACTGTTGACGATCTTGTCGTTGAGGCTGCGCACGTCCGACTCCATGTAGTCGCGGAACTCGCGGCGGATCCTGTCCGCCAGCTTGGTCTGCTCCTTCTCCGAGATCTGCAGTTCGGTCTTCTCGCGCGCCAGCAGCTGCGACAGGTCCCGGAAGTTGGCCTCGTAGAACTGGTGCACGCGGTTCAGCTGGCTCGTGTAGCCGTCCTCGCCGTAGAACTCCTTGATGGCGCGCTTTTCGAGGCTGCGGACCGTGCGCAGCCGGCGCCGCTGGATCTCCAGCATCTCCTCGAACACGGCCTTCAGCAGCTGGCGGCAGACGATCAGGCAGTCAGTCTCGGGGGCGCTGCTAGGCATCACTACAGAGCAATACAGTACGTTGCAATCTCGAACAAATACATACATACATACATACATACATACATACATACATACATACATACATACATACATACATACATACATACACACATACATACATACACACACACATACATACATACACATATATATATATATATATATATATATATATATATATACGGGCCCGTTAGACCAGTTTCTTTCTTAGTTTTACACAATTGGCTGCATAATTGTCACCAGCGGACACGACTTCAACCTACACAATCTTCAACAGCAATACTCATAAACAGAGGCGGTAATTTAAATCCCGACAATGATCTGTGACTGCAAAATACGAACGTAACGGAACTGAATAAACGAACCAATGTGAATCACCATACCAGGGTGAAACCCATCGCATTAGCTGGAGAACACGGGAGAAGACCGAAACCCCAATAGTCGTAATGGTCTGGGGACGACGATGACGATGTGGGGTTTTCAGACCCATCGACGGCGAAACGTCACGCGGCGCCTCACCTGGGGGTGGGGCGAAACGGACCCCAGAAGCACCCGCGGGCAGCCGGGATAAAAAAAGAACCGGCGACTGCCGAGTAAGCGCAGACCACTCAGAATAGCACATCACCAGCAAAAATTATATCTTAAGGCGCGCTCAATTCGGTCCGCCATTTGCCGCCAAGTGTGCCGACGAGCGCACTAGCGGACCGGGCCCTCACCAGCTCCTCTCTGCTCTTGTTGAGCGCCATCCGAGACTGGAACTGCTGCTTGAACGAGTCGACGTACTTCTGGGCGCGCAGGCACGAGATCTTATCGTCACGCGGTTTATTCCTGTCGGTCAGGACGGCAGTCATACAGCGGCAGCGGACAGCGGCCGGCCGGCCACGGCAGCACGGACGGGCGGCGGCGCCGGTCACAGCAGGCCCCGCCAGCTGGCGTGAGCGGCAGAGCCTGCCGCGCGGGACCGTACGAGCCTGTGCTGGGCGCACCGTCGGCCTCTCCCCCTCCCCCCGCCTTCCCCTCCATCTCGTCTGGCGCCCGGCCTCACCACCGGCCGCGCAGTCGACCCTGCACCGGAGCAGCGCGCCGCGCCGGGTCCGGCGCCGCCCCCGCCGCTCACCGCTCGCGGATCTCGCGCCGCCTGTCGTCGCAGATCTTCCGGAAGCGCCTCTCGTGCGTCTTATGCTGGTGCATGATGTCAGTCAGCAGCGCCTGCCGCCGCAGCACGTCCTGCCGCTGCAGCCGGTAACAGGACAGGACAGGTCAAGCCAGGTCAGGTCAGGTTAGGTTAGGATAAGTTAGGATAGGGTAGGTTAGGTTAGGTTGGGTTAGGTTGGGTTAGGTTAGATTAGGTTAGGTTAGGTTAGGTTGGGTCAGGTCAGGTCAGGACAGGGCAGGACAGGACAGGACAGGACAGGTCAAACCAGGTCCGGCCCGGTCAGGTCAGGTCAGGACAGGACAGGACAGGACAGGACAGGACAGGACAGGACAGGACAGGACAGGACAGGACAGGACAGGACCGGGCCAGGGCGAGACGGGGAAAGACAAGAGCGGAACAGGACGGGATACACGATCAGGATATGGCGGTCCACGACACCAAACGAAAATAAAGTGTCCAGCGTTAAAAATTAAAAGCGATGGTAAAAAGGTCGCAATGTTCATGCACATCAGAGGCAAAAGATCAATGATGCCCATCCACACGGAACATACGGGAAGGGCTAGCCCAGGCCAGGTCAAACGCGCCTGACACAGGTCCGGCGAGGGCACTAAAGGTCAGGGGTATATCAGCACACGTCAGACAGACACACCGCAAGACGGGTCAGCTTTGGTGACATCTCACGATGTAAGACCCCCGGTCGGCCAGGACCGGCCGGGCCAAGTCAGGTCAGGTCAGGTCAAGTCAGGGTACGGCCGAATCGCTTAGGAATTGTTCTGCAGGGTGCCAGATGCATCCAATGCCGTTATTGACGGCTGATCGCATGAGAGGTGAATGCTCGGCCCCCATTCGGCCCAGCTGGCCCGCACCCCTGGCGGCAGGACAGACCGGGCGCAGTCCGATGCTCGTCTCGATGTCTGGCACAGACAAGGCAGACGCCGGCGGTCGACAGCTTGAGCCGGTGCCGCGTTGCCGGAGGTAATTACACGTCTGGAAACCCTGAACTGCCACAGATAAAGCAGACAAATGAGACTGGATGTTTTTGAGCTTTATGGTTCAAGTGCCGGCCAGCACCGACCGGAAACCGGACTTCTTCACCGTGCTTCCGTGAGCCCCACTCTGTTCCCACCATCCCAAGGCCTACTAGATAGCCCCGCTGAACCAACAGGTTCCCAGGACAGGATAGAGCAGTTGGCGAGCTCACCCGGATCTTGTACTTTCTCGTCTCCATGGGCTCCACCATGCTCATGATGTACTTCATCTGGCGGCGGTACTCCGTCAGCAGCTTCCGCTTCGTCTCCTCCGAGACGTGCACGTACGGGAACTCGCGGCGCAGAAACTCGAACACGTCCGCCTCTGCCAGCACGGTGGGTACGGCTCGTATCGGCTGACAGTGTCAGTCTGTCAGCAGGGCTGACAAAGAACCGCATGTTAGCAGCACGCCGCCTCTGACAGCATCTTAGAATAAATATACTTTCAGTGACGTTTCCATGATGAACATTGGGAGCACATCAACACCAAGCGTCACCCTTCAGCATATGAGACACAACATCCGACCTATTTCGCCGCCAGGCGGCGCCAGCAGGCGCACCGGCCGGCAGCCGAGGGCGGCTGCAGCCTCTCACCTTGCCCCTGCACCTGGACTT